ATATATATATATACCATATATATATATATCATGATTATATATATATATATATATAAAATTACTAGTGTCCAGATATAGCTTGTATGGAAATATTTCGTCTACACACATCCAACCATATCTTTGTGTGCATATCAATATTGATTTTCTACGCATCGACAAGCGACACAACATTTCAAAGGGCTATAATTGTACTATCTGCATATACTAGTACACACAATCTCGTAAAAAAAACACGCCATGTCAACGCGAAAAATACAAACCCTAGCTTCTAGCATGACACGGATTGGATCCAACACTTGCTCAAAACTTTCGGACTCCGCGAGTTCGGCATAGTTACCAGCACTGCCATTATCAGAGTCGAGACCTCTCTTCTGACTCATATTGCAGTATGTAGTCTGGTGCGATGTTTTAAGAAATCCCAGAATACATACGGACAAATATGCATGACACTCTGGAGTCTGGACTCACTTTGTCTGGCAGACTGGGGGATTGGGGACGGGCCACGGCCTCACGGGACACCCTGAAAGTCATTTCTGAGGATTGTGGGCGGTGTATTATACTCCCACTGGGGGGCTGGGAATATATGTATAATCAACGAAATCTATAGATATGCATATTCATTCGCTCTTAAAGATCATATAAATAATATGCGAACACTAAAAAACCCTCTCACTCTGCAGGAGTTTTGTTCCGCTCGAGACTCGAAAGGAGGGGTCATATAAAAGTACTGCATGCATATTAAATCCAGTGTACAAAAATGAACTTTTAATATATATATTTAGTTATTGTTGGCAATAGTTCTACAAGTCTGTTGTGTTACATTTCCTGCGACAGAGCATATATCAGAACAATATGCTAAAGCGAAGAGAGTTCCAGACCAACTTTAAGGCCAATGAGGGTAACGCGTTGCAAGCGTGCGTTGCCTCTATCTTAGACAAACCACTATCGGATGTGCCCAACTTTATACAATGTTCAGACTATTGGGAAGCCATGCTAGCTCATGCGAAAAAGCATGAACTGACACTTTTGAAGGTAAAAATTATATGCATTCCTTTTTGGAAATTGTTATATAATCATAATCCGTTTAAGGCTACCAACTTAACGATATACTTCTGTGTGTACACGTCTTCATACTCACACTCACATGCCTACACCAAAAAAACGTGTACACACACACACACACACACACACACACACACACACACACACATATATATATACATACATAATAT